TTCTCAGTTATGTGGGGAAGGAAAACCACATAACAGTTGTGATACTAGATTGGGTACGCTTAGTTTTTTTTTTTTTCTTTCTCAAAATGCATATGCCTTCTTTGAGTCGATCATAAATTCAGCATGACTTTTGCTTTCAAAGGATATAATTCTCTTCAATGTTCATGCTGAACAGACCTACTTAGAAATCAGTGAAAAGGAAACGGGAGTTCCTAATACCCAATTTGGCTATTTTATTCAAAAAGCAGCCTCAAATTTAAGCAGTAAAAGCTCCAGTACTGTGAGGTTGAAATGAACAAAGCTGGATCCTACGGATAAGGGACACGGAGGTCTGGTCTTGGTACAGGAACCAGCAGGATGGGGAGGATTAATCATGAAATTTTCCACAATATAAAGAAAAGCAAGCTTAAAATAATGGGTCTAGCTATTTTAATTTGAGGAAGAAGGTACATGGGTGAATGTATTTTCTTGATTTTGTGTCAAATCTGCATATCCTCTGGTACAATGCAACACAATATGCTAAGCAAAACGTTATCTGTTGAAACTTCCACGAAGAATGATGCATTTTGTGGCCCGTGTAAGTAAACAGCCTCTTCGTCAACTACCGCACGTGCCACCATGCAACAACTGTCGCACTAATCCAACGGGGCTGCCAACCTTGCACGCTAAAGCCTTTTTCTAATTAGATCCCTGTGATCTGATTTAAGAATCTTGGTCCTTGGCCTGATGTGTTGGTGAAAGCGATGGCAGCCATTCACGCCGAGTAAACACTTCACATCAGCTCCCAGACGTCTCGCATACATTAGAATAAATGAAAGGGTAGGTGTTGCGTTAAGTGTTCTGGTTAAGTGTTTCGTGAAGCAGGTGCATAAAGACAGCACATAAAGAGCGATCATCATTTTGTCCCCAGCTTCCTGCTCTCGTGTTGCACTTTTCGAAAAGCAACGAAATACGGAAGCTTTCCATTAGTCATTAAGGCGCCATATGAAAAGATCACAAGGGAGTGTGTATATAAAAAAAAAAAGAAAAGATGTGTGCAACGGAAGTGAACTCAATTTAACAAAAGTTAGCGCATCATGTCAACATGATTTACAGTCCGTCATGCTGTCTGAGCCGTCACAAAACCCCCCTACTCTCACTGATAACCACTGTGCCAACTTTATAGTACTTTTGTTTTTTTT